TACCACGCAAATTTAAATACAAGTAAGGTAGTTATAATGTAAGGTTGTGTATGCAATTTAGTTGTTTGCGCAAGAAACATCATGACTCATGAGTAATGTAAGTACTAAGTCATAAGATAATGCTGAAACGTGCCCAAGGCTGTAAGTTGTAAATATATTCAGATCACTAGAATTGGGATTAGATTAATTGCTGAAATTAGTTAACATAATAGCATTGCCTTTGTTGGAGACTGTCCATGCATATTGTGTTACTGACTATAATACATGTTTAAATTAGATCTTAATTTATAGTTAACTTTGCATGACTTGCATGATGATGCAATATTGCCCACACTATGACGTAAACGGACACAGTTCAGCCTCGTGATTGGCCCTCAATAGAATTTGCTAACACATAAGGTGTTACGTCAAGCAAGAACAACTTGCTTCAAGTCAATCCGTGCAAAACCTCTCTTTTCATAAACTCTTTTTAACCGAATTGTCTTTCTATGGAACAATCTCTCTCCAATCATTCATAACAGTTCATCTTGTTTCATCCTTTAAGCTCCAACTCCATTCTCACTACTCTTCTCAATTAGACTCTTCTTTCAATGTTAACAGAATGCGCACTTGGAAAACCTACTGCTCTAAATGACGTTGTTTTAACATAAAGGGTATGAGCAACAAAAAATTTTATTGATTTTATTGCTTCATCTGAAATAACATGAAAAAATAAGCTGATTGGCCGTTTAATGCTCTATTCTATCTCATCTGGTTCCGAAGTTATACGCAAAAATGTGCAAAATATAAATTGCTGATTCAGTACAATTTGTGACGTCATAAGCTGGGTAAGTATGTTTATTGAACAGTAAACTGAAGCATAGCTCAGTTATTATTGGCTCAAAATCAAATGAAATTTTACATACAGATAGTACATGATGAGACGCATGGGAAAATACTTCTAATTTCATTGTCAAGGCAACATAGTCGTTCCCAGGCCCCTTACACTGATTTTGAATAACTAGTTGCATTTATCTATGTGTATGTCATTTTCGAATTATTATCATGCAAGTAAACTTTTGGCATGCATAGGTATGGTACACATACTTCTGATATTATTTTATTTTTATCAGTACCATGAATAAAGCTGTTTTATAAAATTGGTGCAAGGGGTCTGGGAACGACATTGTTACCTCGGCAACAAAATTAGAAGTGTTTTTCCATGCGTCTCATCATGTACAATCGGTATCCAAAATTTCATTCGATTTGGGCGCATAATAAATGAGCTATGCTTTAGTGTAGTATTCAATAAACATACCTACCCAGCTAATGACGTCACATGTTGTGCTGAATCAGCAATTTATATTTTGCACATTTTTGCATATAACTTCGGAACTAGATGAAATAGAATAGCATTAAACGGCCAATCGGCATATTTTTTCATGCTCTTTCAGATGAAACAATAATGAAGAATTTTGTTGCCCATACCCTTTAAGCTGTTGCTCATAATCTAAACTATTATGACTAAACTACATAATCTAAACTATTGTGACTAACTACATATTCTAAACTTTGTGCCGTGTGAGGGGACTAATTCACCCTGGCTATTTACACCCGGGAAAAGGATCGCACTAGTGAAGTCTAAAGTTCATCAAATATCGCGGGCACGGTTCATAGGTGTATGGGTGGTCATCTCACTGATCTCAAAATATGGCTGTTTGCCAGGAGTGAAGAACGGGAAATTATATGTAAGAAAGCTTGGAAAATCGTTGCACATAACAAATTGTAAAGCTTTTCTTCAATTTTTAAAGGCAAATATTAACTAAGAATTGATTTAGTATGATAAATTTTAAAGTACCTAGCAAGTTTGTTTCAATTGTTTATGTATGTGTGACTTTGTATGATTAATACAGATTTTGTTCTTGTTGTTCAAGTCTTTCCTATACATTGTATGTAAAAGTTCTTAGTTAAATTAACTTTTGTAGCAGTTCATGATAAAAAGGAAAGCAAATTATTTTCATTAGCGTTCTGTACAAATTAAATTTATTTCATTTCAAAGTGCGAGTAATAAGTTGAAGAGATTAATATCGGCAAAAAGCTGTTAAAGTTTGGAAGGCCTGTATAGTATATTGTTTTTTCTTTATTATCTTTAAAAGATTGTTCGTTTAATTTTGAATTCAGGGCTTTTGATCGCAATTCATACAGTTCTGATCTCAACTTTCTGTCATCTTCTTCAATGCCATTAATATTCTCCATGGTAAGGTCTGTCTGGCAACTAATTTCATTATTAATGTCAAAGGTTGGCAGCTTTGGAAATATTGCGAAGAAACGCTCACTTTCGAAATCAACGCCGTTTATCTGCGCTTCTGAAAAGCTATTGCACAATATTTCAAGCTCAAGCGTGCACTTGGAATCAGGAAGAAAGCATGAGCGTGCGCGCCGCGCGTAAAAACCGTGAGCATAAGAAAATGCGCACTGGGAAGCAAGAAAAGCAAGCACGAATGTGAAACTTACGTGAAACGGAATTTGAGATGCGTGTCGCGCGACAGCAGACAAGCTGTCAGCGATGCAAACAATGAAAAACAACTTCCGATTCGACCAACTTAGCTAACAGAAGTTTGCGGTTGAGAAATTTGATCTAGTGACAAGTTTTCAAAGCAAACGTTGTTTACTCGTTTCATTCTGTGGAATTTTTTGCTGTGAAAGATTTTCATGGGAGTTTGCAAGGTAAGTGTATATTATGTGTTTATCAGTGTATGCAAATGTAGTATAAATTGTTTTATTCGCGTTTATGGAAATTTGTGTGGTGAATTGGAACCATAAAATCACAAATATAAAAGCAGCATCCGGAGACGGTCGGTTGTTTAAGGTACTTTTAATCTGAAATTTCAAAGCTACATGAAGCCTTTTCCCCTTCTGTCACTGGGGTATTTCGACAGAGAGACTGGAAATGTGGTGAAATCTATTACAAAATACTGCAACAAAATATAAATTGCAAGCCGACCGCCACCCGCGCGTATTGCGGCATCACATTTACAGTTTACTACTGAACACTATACCTTAGATATGTAATATGTTATCAAATCAAACCTCCAGGCGCTGGCGGCCTATGATTATTGATTATAAAAACAGTCTAAACTCAAAGGAGTAATAAAAGTCTAAACGACAACTAAACAAAGTATAATTGTTTTTGCACTGAACAAATGTTTTGTGAATTGCACCTTGCATGCACGGGCCACCGTAGTTTTTACTACAGTAACCGCTGAGCTAGACACTTCAGTTACACGTTTTGATTTTCGAACGTTACATTAGGGGACAAGGTTAAAAAAGTCCAAAAACATTCCATAGAAACGTGGATGAATGGATACTTAAAATGTTTATCTATTATTCTGTTTCATGGAATAATGGGTCGTGTCAGATTCTTTCGGACACAATATAAATGGATAATGGAAATGCCGCCCGCGCGTAATTTGAAATAGCCGGGGCCGGACGGGGGAAACTAGAGTCTAATTGGAGTGGCCAAATAGAAAAGTAATTAGTCATACTAACCTGATCAACTTTGTTCCAAAAATCCGTATTTTAGTTTGCAAATTGTAATATATCCAAAATGCTTCAAACACATGTTGTCGTTTCAAGTGTCTACATTTTAATTTGTTTCCCCTCCTGTTTGTAGTTATTTAGTTCGCACAATGTTTTTAAAGAACAAATTAAAGCAATAATATGAATGATTATATTATATAGAGGCAGTACTCTGAAGGTTATAAAATGTAATTAATGTTTGATGTTATTAAGTTCGCTCAATGTTTTTAAAGAACGAAGCAATAATATATGAATGATTATACTGAGGGTGTGTTCTGAAGGTTATATAATGTTTGAAGTTCAAGTTATTGAGTTCGCGCAATGTTTTTCATGAACCTACTTTGCTGATCCGTAAAGTGCAATCAGTGCTGTTGTGTCCAAGTCAGGTGAAAAAAGTTTGTAGATCCATACGGAGCATATACGGTCTCCAGTGCCATACAAACTGTGAAATTGCTCAGTTTATGGACCGTACGGTTCATTAAAATCTCGGTTAAAATTATTTACGGATCGTGAACCTACTTTGTCAATCCGTAAAGTACGTCAATGGGTGCTGTCTGTCAATGCGTCAATGCATGGGAACTGTGAAATGGCTTCACGTACCGTATGGTTCGTACAATTCATCAAAATTATTTATGGATGGTGAACCTACATCACCGATCCGTAAAGTGCGTCAATGGGTGTTGTTGTGAATAGGTCAGGAATAACCAATACTTTTTGTTACTAAAAATATTGTTTGTACTTTACTACCTTGTATTTGTAAAGTAGCTATGGTTAATGGGTATAGTAGCAATGCCAATGGCAAAGTAGCAATGTAGTAGCATGTAGGTGATAAAGTGCCAATAGACTATATATTGGTCTATATTGATTAGATTTAGTGAATAGAGTTTGACTCAATGATTTTTCAAGCTTCCTGCCTGACTCGGCTGACTGTCTCTTTAAGTAGTTCAATGTGAATGACTGCATAGCATAACGCTAGGAAAACTGGGAATGCTCCAGCTGCAACCCGCTTAAAGTTAACCGCATTTTATAGTAAGGAAAAAATATATGCACAACAGCGCAACTAACTTTGAAAATTGGAGGCACAAAATTTCATATCAAATGCGCAATTTCAGAAATGGGACGCGCAAAATTTCTCCACTTTCCTGTTCTAGAATTTCTCCAGAATAATTGCTTGTTGTTGTTGTTGATCGTTGTTGTGGTCTGCTGTCAATGTCTGTGGTGATCTGCTGTTGTTCATTGTTGTATGTTTCTTGTTGCTTATTGTTGTTGTTTTCCATATTTGTCTGTTGTTGTATGCTATTGTTGCTCGTTGTTATTTGTTGCATGGTGTGTCCCAATTTTAATGTTGGAGCCCAATCTTCATCTTGTACATCATGGAGGTCACTTGGACGTCCTATGAGGATCAAAACAATCACGTCAAACCACAGTTTATATCAAATGAAAACAATCCTTACAATCACAATGACCTCAACAGCGATGTAACTTAACACTTGCCTGGGACAAGTGGATATCATGACAGGCAAGTGAACGTCTTATCTTGCTTGCCCGCCCCGAATGGGCAAGTTATCTTGCTACAAAAAGCTGGGAATCTTTAAGTTTATGTTTTATAGTGCATGTACTTGATTTCAAATTTTGTTTTTTTTATGGGCCAAAGCTAGATCTATAAAGGCAGTATAACATAGCCATATAGAGCAGGTCAACTTGTAGCCCCTTAATTTATACCCCCTACCAAGTTACCCCAGTGGCCATTGTCTGATCGCAAGTGAATTTTATTCAGAGCAACTATTTTTCATGTCCAAAAAAGTTTAGTTACACCACTGCTTAACATGCACAATGATAAGCCGAATTACCTCAACACCAATTAATGTATCAACAAATAAAGAAAGCTTATTGTAAACAGGTTTATTGTGTTTATAAAAACTGAGCTTTAACAAAGTGGTCGCTGCAGACTCGTGCATATTTTGATTTTGCTCCGTTCATCACTAAAAGTGAGAGATTAGCAAGCCATCTTTAGCAAGGTTCCAAATGAGGCCAGTTGTGCCTGGGAACCCAATCTCATGAATTTTCCAATTTTAGGGAAAAAAATGGTAAAAATTGAAAAACTAGACAACCAGAAAACGTAAACTAGGATGCCCTGATATAGGTCACAAAATCGGTTGTCAGTTTGTGTTGTGTACGTGTATTCTACATTATCATGCTTAATTTCGAAATACTCTGCTATTTTAATACCGTATGTAAAGCTGTTTCCGTATTATATTAATAATCTCTGTTTTAGGAATGTTTTTATCCTGTCAACATGTCTAGATTTAGATTAAAACAACGTCATTGCGCGCGATTGGTATTTTGGAGTCTGGGAACGTCCTAGTTTTTGACGACAACAGCCTAGTTTTTTTCCAAATAAGGTAATTCTAGGACGTTCTCAGACCCCTGCGCAGAAAAAACTAGGACGTTCCCAGTCTTCTTCACCTTCTCACGCCCAGAAAACTAGGCAGTTTGCATTTATATAATTACAATGCGTGATATTAAATTACACTTGCGCAAATCTATCGCAATAACATCGGTGTAAACAGAAAAAAAGCAAGAAATACATTATATTCCTTGTATTCAGTACAGCTACCAATAGTACAATGTACTGAATATTGGTTATTACGCTTATCACTCATTTATTGAGGCAATGATTATTTACGCAAATAACGCAATGACGAATGGTGATTCATGTTTGGCATACATACTAAATTGGATTCTTCGGTGTTGTTTTTAAAGCTGTTGTTTCTAATAATATGGGCGTAGGCAATAGGTATGGTCTTATTTTTTTAGTTTGAGTACTAAAACTAGAGTTTTTATTATATAAACCAACGTCTATATATAGATTCTATACATGAATAACATGAATTGTAAAAGTATATCACATCTCTAAGCTGCACTTGACCTTTTAAACCGTAACTTTATAACGTCACAGTATTTATGGTCACCACTTTTCCGGATGCTTTGCTAACATGCAAATTGTCTAGTATTGATTTTCAAAAGAACTTAGAACGGCAATTTTATAAAGACATTACCAATACCAGAAATGCTAAAATTGTGTGTATTGTAATGGTATTGCAATTGTCACTAATTATAATGTTTTTATAGTGCAGTCATGCCAATTTCCATCAGTACTGGTATCAAAACCTGTAAAATGGACTATACTTTACAGCCATATATTACTAAATACATATCAAAACATGTATAATTAATTCATTTGCGCTAACCTTATAAGCCTGTCGCAAAAAAAGTTTTAGGGGGGGGGGGGTACTTGAAAACTTGAAAATTGGGCTATTAATTTTTTTAATACTGAACCCCAGGCACAAGCAAAATGCCATTTGGAACCCTGTCTTTAGCGACGTTGTTTTGTTAGCTGACTGATTCTTTCTCCTCTACGTTAATTTTCCTTGGGCACTCGAAAGAAAATCTTATCTCTTTCTCTTTCAGACTGGTTACTGCAGCCCCAAAACAGTGCATATTTTTGTCATTTACGTTACATATTTTGCAGCATTTCAATCAAATCATTTCAATCAAAATAAAACAAAAATTTTAACTATGCAGGCATGCAGCTGTCCTTTTAACCCGAGATAGCCTGCGATCGGGCTAGCTTGACCACCAGTCAATATTTACTTTGGCACTGTGACGTCACATGAAACCCAAGAATACCATGAAGTAGTTTCATGCTGTTTTCTGGGAGTTCATTAACTTTGTCTACCACAAAACTTGGGTACTTGCTTGAAGCTCACAATTGGGTTGGCTTTAAATAGTATACAGTTTATAGTTTAAAAATAGATATGCTATAAGTGATATAAAACAAACTATTATCTAGTCTAATCAGGGTTCGAGATTTGCGGTATCCTAGTATCCTGACGATACCAGATTTCAGTTTTGGATACCAAATGTCATAACCTTGGTATCCTAGCTGGATACTAAGTAAATTGTTGATGAAATACCAAAATATGGCTATTAGTTAAAGAATACAAAATATATAAAGTAAAGTATTGTATATACCAAAAGAAACCGAGAACATTCAAGCATTTGTTTATCATAATTTACGAATTTCGAAACGGTAAAAATTAAAAGTAGGATTAAGGTTGTATATACACATAGGCACGTGCTATAATTGTCAACATCCGGAAATCCTTATATGGTCATATTATTTACAAATTGTGCGGCCTCCTGTTTCAGTGTTTGTTGCTTTTTTACCCAAAGGTTTTATACTGTAGTTTTTCCAAAATGTAGTAAAAGTATTAAATTAAATGATGTGGAAATTTGTTGTTCGCAATCCGACCGACAAAGGCGACAATCCTTCAGCTTCTGGGGAAGTTCAAGAGTTTACCGGGTCAACTACATCCTCGACCTCGATACTGCCTACGGATCAAGGCAATCAACGAAATGATGCTATTAATATCGATCAAAGCGAAAGGTCAAATGCGAAACAAAAGCGCAAGTTCAATCCATTGTGGCAAAAAGCATTTCCTTGGGTGAGGTTAGTCAACAAAAAAATGTTTTGCGATGTTTGCACGAAGAATAAACATGCAGATAAATCAAGTGCGTTTGTTAAAGGATGTGATAATTTCCACATCAAATCACTTCGAAAGCACAACACGAGTAGCGGGCATGTTAAATGTGCTGCAAATGTTAAAGCTCTTAGTGCCGAACCGGGCACAAATCCTGCTGAAAGAGCACTACGAGTACTGCACAAAAAGGAGTTCGAGAAAATGCGTGTGATGTTTCGAGTTTCACACTCTTTAGCAAAGAACGGGAGACCATATTCGGACTACGAGTGGGCCCTAGATCTTCAGGAAACAATGCACAACATAAAACTTGGCGAGACTTACAGAAATGATCGAGCTGGGCGAAAGTTTACAGCTTTTATAGCCGAGGCAGAGCGTCTTAAACTAGCTTCGGAATTGTCAACTACTCCTTGTTACAGTATCCTGACAGATGGTACTACGGACACGTCTGTTTGCGAAGCCGAGATCTTGTATGTAAGGCATTGTAATAAAGGAAAGATAAGTAATCGATTCTTGGCTCTGCGTAATCTTGAACGAGCAAATGCCGAGAATATCACAAAAGTAATTGAAGAAACCGTAAAGGATTTTGGTGGTGTGTCCGAAGAAGATCTATACAAGAAGGCTGTCGAATATGGAGCAGATGGGGCTAGCGTCAATATGGGATGTCATTCGGGAGTTGGCGAACGTCTTAAACAAAAACAACCTTTGATCACCGTGGTGCATTGTATGGCCCACCGCTTGGAATTGGCATTCAAAGATGTACTTAAGAATAACCCACATCAATTGCAAGTTGTGAACTTTCTCAACAGCATTTATTCTTTTTATCACGCAAGTTCTTTGAACAGGAGTATGCTGAAGATATGCTGTACTGCTCTTGGTGTGAAAGGCATTCCAACTAGAGTTGGCGGGACACAGTGGATACCACATACATACACTGCTCTGCAAAATATGTGGGTACTCTATCCAGCTTTATTACAGCACTTTGGTGAGGTATGTGGCAATTGTATAATCTATATTTTTCATATTTTATTCATATCTCACAATTCTACTGTATTACTGTATCTTACGTTATATAGGACATTATCCACATGCAAGTATTGCGTATTATCTGTCTATAAGTCTATTAAATTATGTTTTTGTTGTTTCTCTTTAATTTAAGCTTCAAGTAAACCCTCATTCAGCAGATGGGTCAGCAAAAGCTCTTGGATTAATGCGCCTTATGAAAAGCGTGTTGTTTATTAAGAATGCTGTGATGACTACCGATTTGCTAACTTGTTTGAAGAAGTTGTTTCTGTTCTTGCAAAAGCCAAACATCAACATAGCAGAGGGCATGGATTATGTGCAGACCATTACAGACAATCTGTGCAAACTAAAGCAACGGTTTGTATAATTTAATAATGATTACAATTTTAAATTAATCTTATTGTTGTAACCCCTATATTCAATTTTTTTGTTTTCTAAAAAGGACTGGACCAAAGCTCACAGAATTGGTTAATACTGGTATTCTGTGTGAAATTGATTTACATGAAGAAAACGATGCAACACTGGAGAGGTTCAGACCTATTGTTGATGCATTAGTTGCTGCTCTTAAATTGCGATTTGTGCCATCTCCCAACAGTCAACATCTAAACTGGATTGGTTTCCTTAATCTAAGATCCTGGCCAATCAAAGAGTGGAGAGGTTAAGTTTTGCATTTATTATACACTAGTATTTGACTATTGTATACATATTACATAATACATTGTAATTCAATATTTTGTTCTATATTTAAATTCTGCATTTATAGAATTTGAGTGCTACTTAAACTTTAAGACAAGTTGAGGCTTGGTAGATGGTAGTAGTTAAAAAAAATATTTTTGATGTTTTTTATGCAAATGATACTGATACAACATTATTATTTAAGATTTTGCTGACGAAGAAATTAGGAAACTTTTAAACCACTACAAGCCATACTTAATCCATGCTTGCCCCATTGTGGAAGACATAGTTGCAGAGTCATCGGTTGAATGGGATGGACTTAAGTCAAGAATATATAGAAGGTACTGTTGTTCGTGTAGTAACTTTTCAAACTCCATATAAGCTTAAAGCTTCTTAACTTTCTTGGTAATTAACTAGTTTTGTTTTGTATATGCTGTAAATAAAATAGTACATAGTTTCTACCATGATAATACAAATATAATATTCAATTTATTCATTATATTTATATTATGATATTATTTCATGTTGCAGGTATGGAAGTGCAAAAGAAAGAAAAGAGCTAAACCGGGAGCGTATTAACATTGAATTTGGCGACAATGCAGAAGTCTTTTTGGTGTTGGTTGATTTGTTGCTATCAATTCCAGCACACTCTGTTGAATGCGAGAGAGGATTTTCCTTGCTGAAGACTACCAAAACCGATTGGCGAAACCGTCTCACTGATGATGCGGTCACTGACCTGATGCGAATCTCCTTGGATTCACCTGAAATAAAGCAGTTTAACCCTGATCCTGCAATACATTTATGGCATATACACGTCAGTCCGGTTCTATCTATCTATTCATAATGTAACCAGTCACTGAAAAGCCCTGATATAGGGAGTGTGCTGTGAAATATCTGTATCTGTATAAAAGGCAGTGGTTCGTGGTCGACGACCATCTCAAAAAGTATCGAAGAAAACAAAGAAGAACGAAGAAAATGGCAATGATGATACTGAATCTGATGCAGAGTGTCAGAGTGTTCCACCTCCTCCATCTCCGAATCAGATTCAGAGCTATCTGCAGATCAGGCTGATCAGCAAGTTGAACAGGAATCAATGCCATTGGACACTCAGCGTCAGATTATTAGAGACTTGTTTGAGTCTGATTCTGATGAACCAGCATTTGAAGGATTTGAATCCTTTGATACTTGAAGGATATGAAGCTAGATTTCAATCGTTTGTTTTAAATTAAAACAATCAAATTAGCATTTACACTTGTTTTATGGCTAACTTTGCTAGATATCTTTTAATGTTCAATAAAAACTATAAGTCACTGTACAGCTGTTGACTGTTTACTTGTGGGTTTTTTTTGGTTGGATCATTATCTTCAATATCTTGATTCAACAACTTGATTCTGAATATCAGGTGAACGGGTGGTGTCACATAACTTTTTTTAATTTACTGGACCATCCACATACAGTGTCAAAGTTGGATACCACATGTTGACTTTGGATACCAACATAGAAATGCTGGTATCCATGATGGATACCTACAAAAAAATCTAATCTCAAACCCTGAGTCTAATGGGTCAGGTAGAGTTGATGAATCACCTTTCCACGGGTAAGATATTTGCCATTGGTTGCCAATCTTCTGACAAGATTCTTGCACTTCAATGGGACTTAGTTTCTCACTTTCACAGGAACATGCTTTTACTGATACTCCCATCAACTTTGTGCTCCAGAAATCTTCCATGTCCACAGTTCGTGATATCAATGTTTTGATGTGAAAAACTCGGTTAGTTACTTCATTTTCCATTTGTGTTGCCCAAACAGAACCCAACCTAATGGTGAATGTTGTTGGGTTTCACCAATGTGCAGATTGGATTGTCGATGCCAACCAGAATATCAACAGGATCGTCTTTCCTCCAGAACTTGCTCTTTGAGATCCTGAACGCTTTCCCAATTTCATCAAAGTTGACTGAGGAAGTGTCACTGCTTGTAGACGGTATCCGATAGCTTTGATAACACAAGTTGCTCTGTTCTCCAATGAACGAATTTGAACTTCATAAACTTTGGTACTAGTTCTTCTGCACCACCAACCTTTGCAATAGTCATTGTCACATCTTTGCCCTTAAGCCTGTTTTCCACTAGGCAGAATTTTGTGTGCGGAGCAGAATTTGTCTTGTGATTTCTCGGGTGGAACTAATTAGAAAAGACAAATAAAAATTCCACTCCACACGCAAAATTCTGCCTAGTGGAATACAGGCTTTAGGCCCAACAGCTACAGGTTTTCTTATTAGACTAACTTGGGCGCCAGTTCTAACAATATATTAGCCTGTTCGTTGACTTTTCGATAACCAATAATATCAGCTATAATTTGTGGCAGAATTGCTTGTCCTTTCATCGCGACTGAAGAGATTGCAGGTATATTAGCACCATGAAGCAGCAGATGATGATAGAACTTAGACTGTTGACCATTGACCATTTAATGGCATTGTTGTCTGTACCCAGGATTCTGGTATTTTGTGTTACGATTTATTAATATGTCATGTTTTTAGGGTCCGTGCAAAAATATGAAATCAAAGCTTGTGGACCAAACAAGACTAAGAATATAAAACATAAATCGAACCGAGGTACTATATTAACTAACTTTGTTTTTCATTTTGGATGCATGCTACGTGGAAGCCCAAATACTTTAATATATAGCAATGTCACAACCTGGTTCCAGAGGTTTAAAGTAAACCTCTATAGTTGAAAGCGGCAATTGATCATCGAGCTGCCCCAATCAGTTTGAATTACGGTCGGATCCTGACACTGTCTCCTGATTGGATGATTGTATTAATAAAGCCCTCTGATTGGTTCAAATAAAACATCTATAACCAATCAGAGACCTTTAACACAATCATTCAATCAAGAAACAGAGTCAGGATCTGATCCTTATTCAAACTGATTGAATTATTTGAGCACAGCTCGATGGATCAATAGCCAATTCCAGCTTTTAAATTATGCGCGCAGGGGATGACGAGAAGTAAGGTATAATATTGGTGATTATGCTGAAAAATTTCAATAAAAACTGCCGAAACAACCGAAATATTTTGATACGGTCGTCATTTTTATTTTTTTCAGCATCGCTCCCTCCATGCATAAACTAAAAGCTGGAATTGCCTATTGCCGCTTTCAACCAAAGGTTTATTTTTCCTCTCCCCTTCACAATGAAAAGAATAAAATAAACCTCTGGAACCAGGGTAGGAATGTCATGATGCAAGGTAATGAATGCCCCCCCCCCCATATTTTCCTGTTTCTCTGCTTTTTTTATTCCATAATTTTTTAATTCCTGATTCACTATCCTCAGTTGATCCTTCCTCTCACATTCCTATGCATCCCTCCCAGGGAAAAAAGTAATCCGGGAATACATATTGCACGCAGCTGTTTTACAGTATTCAATACCACTTTTTTTCAGTGTTACATATTTGTGATGAAAAATGTTCAAAACTGAAAATCGTTTTGGCATACATCTCAAAATTATTTTGTTTTGGTTTTATTCTCTGGTTTATACAGTTAGCAACCTTTTTTAATGCATTTGCCAGTTGAGAAACATAAAATAATTGTTAAAAATTGTCAATTAAAATAAAATTATCAATGACGCTTTACAAGTACAGCAGTATAAGCCGAAGTCTTTGGTGTACCATCTAAAATCTCTTCATTTTGTCATTACTTACAGATAAAGGAGTAAACATACTTTTTAAATTTATTTGCCGATTGAGAAACGTATCAAAAACAAAAATTTCGGATGTATAGTCATAACAGCAAGTGGTATATTACTCAGTCTTGAGCGTGTGTTATGTAACGTACAAAAAATCGCCTCTTAATATATCCTAGTACATGTATTACCCCTTTTCTCTGTCACATGCACCTATTGCAAAAAAAACCAAGATTTTGTTCACATCTCCTACGGTTAAATAGGGAGTTTATGATGCACGACGCGGTCAGCTTTATGAGATCAAGTGAAATTATGCTTGAAATATAATCTTACAAATGTTTAAATTGGCCTAAACTACTCAGATGTTTAGCTGATGTTGCCATTCTGTCAACATTATAAAACAGCTCCCTTATCACAACAAGCTTTGATATTGCTATATAGAAAACCGTGAAAATTACTCGTTTGATGGTGTCCCAAGAATGGCAACAATGTTGAGGAAGCCTAATTTCCTAGTAAGTCCCATTCACAAAAGAACCTGTTTAGGTTAACTCCGAAAATCTAGGCTCTTATATGCAAGGTTTTACTGTATTATTGTTATAGTTAATATTGGTGTGGGCACAAGTGTGCTAAAACAACTGCAAAAGCGGTGCTACTTTGGTGTTAAAATGGCACCTGAAAAAGTGTTATTTTGTACAATATTAGTTAGTATAATATTTGGCTCTAAATTAGCACTTTGACTGTTTCAAATATCGAAAGGTTTGGGTAAATAAAAAGTAAGAAATGCTATTTACCTGTTTAATTTTGGGGGGGGGGGTCTTTTTATTATATAAAACAAACAGATAAGATTTTGCTGTTGTCTGTTCCAGGGCTCAAAATAACAGTCGGTCAACTGAGAATGACAATGACTAGCGAAAAAGCCTCTTGCATGACCGGTCACTTTTTTACCTCACTGGTAATTGTTAAAACATTAAACTATATGATTATCAAAACACATTTCTGATAGTCTGTATTACTGTTACTGTAAACATATCAATGACCGATCAAAAACAGATTTTGACCGAGCTAAAATCAAGTTGACTGTGTATCTATAACTGAACAGACAACAGCAAAATCTTATCCATTTGTTAAATGATTGTCTGGATACTAAACAGAAGTCATTGTGTTATATCTTTGTCCGAGTTTATGTCAATTTGTACACAGTCACAGTTATTAAATGCCTTGTATTTTCGCATAATGCAGTAGTCTTCCAATAGCGAAAGCCGAGATGAAACGTGCAGACCATCATATCACACTGCACATTCCACATATTCCAGACCATCAGAACTAAACTGTAAACAATGTTATATAATGAAATAGTATGAACAAATTAAATGTAAATATTTCGAATTTACTATAGAAGAATACGAATGAAGATTCTAATTGCATGTACAGGTATAATGTTTCCTGGTGTTCCTATATCGAGAGACTCTTTATGGGGTATCTCAAGGGAGGGTTTTGGCATCTACAGCAGCAGATGCTTTTTGCAATCATGTCAAGCTTTTAAGGTGGAAGGTTGAAGAGGGTCTGGAGATAAGGATATACTTTTTCAGTCTGTGATGCTAACAAAATTAGAATTATACTAGTTATAATAATAATTCATCAAAAACCAAAATTTGTTAGGACATTGAAGCATCACTTGGCTCCCCATGGTTTTGTCTTTCATTGTAATAACATACATATAAACAAGTTATGATTACTAAAATAATGAAACAAGTTATCTATTATGTTAACTGTGATTTGCATGGTTAAGCTTATACCTTGCTTGTATTTGCATTGTACTTATTTTCCTTCAGCTTTAAATTCGTGTGATTAAATTTCGGGCACCTTGTTGAGACTGATAATGGTGCAGCTTTAATTAAATTTGCGCAAGTACTGTACTTTTCCGCTTTCGTTCATATCTTCTAATAGATACCAGTGTGCAGTATAAAGGTGGCTAACTGGAAAAATAATATGTTATTGTTCCAAGAAAGTTTCTAAGTTACCTCCACAGTCGACACCATATCAAGAAATTGAGTTACTACTTTTAGTCGCAGCTTTTGCCATTTGGAAATACATTATTTTGTTAAAAGGTTTGAATCCAGGTTCATTCATTCATTTTTTGTTTGTTTTATTTGTTCTTCAAGATTGTACAAAATTAAATAAGTAAATATGTCAGACAAAACTTATTTAATTTTGTATAATAACCTAGAACAACCAATAAAACAAACAGTATTTTGTCAAAATGAACCTTAATCCTTCGATGCCATTAAATAGGAGTAGGATGTAGACCATCGAAAGAAGCAGATGATGTCTGACTTTAAGTTTAATTCAGCAGAACAACCAATATATATAAAATTATGTATAAATTATCCACTTCCCTCCTCAATAACATGACAGCTACAGGTATGTCAGCCTGTGACTCAATGTGATAACTTTTAGTGAATTTGTAATAAATTTCTTTCAAAAAAAGCCCCCCAAAAATTAATTACAAGTCAATAGTGAACTTTTGTATGCTATTCAAGGTTGCCATTTTGATTTCATATAAATTGCATAATTTTGCCAATTTGTGGTCTACCAATGGGCAGACCTACAGTTTGTGGCACCACAGATGCCCTACAAACTAATGGACTGATTTGCATAAGTATAATAATGAGTGTCTCATATTACACCACAAAGCTTTGTAGTTTTCTGTATGACAATAGATTGCAACTAATTATTCAATTTGAGTTATCATTATAATTTCGTAACTGACTCTAGTTCCTTTGATATCAGTGTATGTATGTATAAATCTTTATTAAAATATTAAAAGCAACACCTCACAACAAACGTGCAGGCTTACAATTTGCACTAATTACTTATCAATAATTATTATACTAATTACTATATTAGTATTGATATTATTCATTAATAGAGCTAAAATACCATTATTATAATGTTTAATGTAGTTCCTAAGAAGTTAATTTCTAATTTAACAATATCATGAAGTTAAAAAGACATCTATTAACGAACACTCTTTTAAACCTTTCTGTTCGAACTCTCGGTAGTTCATACTCATGTCCGCAATTGCATAATTCTAATTGACGACTAGGAGGCAGCAAAACTTGCAGGGCATGGTTGGGATCCGTAGTTATTTTCTCCCATAAATCTCTGTCTTTATTGTTTAACTCATTAACTGGCAATGCGCCCGGATGCACCCTGAGATTGGCAAGTGTGTAACTGGCAATGCGCCCGCATACGCCCTCAAATGACACCTCAACTTGCGGGCATGATATTTGAGCACGTGTTTATCGGGTTGCCTAGCAACGGATACGAAAATAGAACGCGAAATTCGAGCTTTTCAACGGTGTATCATGCAAGAAAATCGGCCAAAAACTCACAAAGTTTTTCAAGTTTAAAACCTTAGTTTTTCAAAAATAATGAATAATGGCGTTATTGTTGCAAAGAAGGATTTCACAGCAAGTTTTAAAAGAGAAAAAAGAAGACGTTTTTGAATGATTTACAACGAAAATTTGGCATGAAAGGAAAGCGAATGTATTGACGTTTTGGGCCAAGTTCTTCTGTGAACCTTGCGCGGGATTTTCAGCCAAAAAGATGAGGATTTCTCCAACCTTTATTAAAAATAGAAGTCGGAAATCACAAGAAAGATGAACACGGAACTCAAGTGAGCAGATACGATTTTTTAAAGGGTATTTTTGAGTAGAAATATGCGATCAAACACTCACAAAATTCGACCGCATTAATGTTGGTTGAATCTAGTTTAAAGTTATCTTT